GACATCTGTTTTCATATATTTTGGACATTTCTACATAACACTATAATAATCAAAAGCCCTAATAATAACTTTCATTTTTGAGGTTTTGTCTACTGAAATGGGACTTTGGTCCCACTGTGCGTCGTCGAGATTCACGATGATGCACTCGTTACGCAGTGGTTTTCGCGGCAACGTATCGCGCATGAAAACGCCTCTGAAATGCGGTATTCGCAGGCTGCGTGCGGACGCGTCTAACTATGTGTTCGAAGTCACACCGGACAAGGGCAGCCGGAGGGTCGTCGTCGTCAGTGTCTCCTTCCAAGTTTTTTTTTTTTTTATTTTTTCGTTGTACGATACTCTCTTTTCCTCGTCTTTCTCGCACCCGCGCCTTGTCTGCAGTACAGTGCGAAATAAAGATCACGACCCTCCATGGCGCGATTGTGTCGTTGCAATTCCTCCAATTGACGATGTGCACTCTTGCTGTCGTTTATCGCCTTTGTTACGCCAGTCGCGCCACCGATCAATGATCAGAGTGCACCGAGTATCGGGAGAAACGGTAATAAGCCTCCTCGTTTCGCTAACGGCAACGTTCTCCTTGTTCTCTTCGTAGTCGTTCTCCTCGTCGTTGTTGTCGTCCTCTTTTTTCTCCTGCCACCAGCGCCCATGCCCAATTTGGTTTTCGTTTTCATAGTACCCCATACGGCCGTCGCGGTTAATCGTTCGCCGAGTCTCACGTTACTGGCGTTTATGCGCGCACGCGCTTCCTTGGCCAATTCCCGATCGGCCGCGTGTCGATCGCGAAGATTGTTGCTCTGAGAATAGGCGATGTCGTGTCTGCGACACGCGGCGTCTAACGGATTGATACCGGAGTCGCCGCGCGCCAATCGCTTTCTCAAATGAGTACCGGGTCCGCAAAATTGATATCCGGAAATGTGTAGTTCGAACAGAAGCGCATTTATAGCGCTGTTGAGGAGTCCGGTGCCTCGACGTGTCTTCGTTGTTCCTGTTGACATCCGCTGCAATGTTTCACAAAAGACGCAGGCCCATCTATGTGCGTTCGCATCCACGGGCGATTGTGGTGCGTGAAACAGATTCAATAACCTTGAATTTCCCGATCTACTCTCAGGTGTTCGGGCAACCTGTCCCACAGCCGATCGATATAATCGGAAAAGTCGCGCACCAGAACGATCTTTGGAATATATTCCAACACGTCACTGCTTGAACCAAGAATATTACGTTTATTCGCGTACGTAATGATATACATTTTTTATCTCTCTGTCACGTCCCCTCACGACGATCGAGTGTAAAAATAGTTATTATCTAGTCGTGGAGGAGAAGGAAGAGGAGGAAGAGGAGGATATGTAAATAGATGATCAGTGTACATGCGTGTGATTTTTATCAAATACATTTTATTCGTCAGCACGATTGGAGTGTCGAATCTCGATCGCAAAATATTGCTGATATCTGATTCGACGATGGCAGTTTATAAGCATGGCGATCTGTTGCCCAATTCGATTCGTTATATCATATACGGACCGTTCAATTACGGAAAAACGAATGTTCTGATTGGTCTTCTAGAGAGTACGCACAGAGTGCGATTTGAGAATCTGTACTCGAAATCATTACATCAGTTGAAATATCAATATCTCAAGGAATTGCTTGACGCGATAAACGAAATTGGATATCATAAGTTCTCCAACAGTCAGGATGTTATACTGCCGAACGGGACCTTTCCGAATTCGATCGTTGTATTCGACGATATTATCTGCGACAAACAGGAGCCTATCAGAGAATATTTCGCCATGGGACGGCACTGCGACATCGACTGCTTTTATCTCAATCAAACGTACGCCAGAATACCCAAACATTTAGTGCGCAACAATGCGAATTTGTTGCTGCTGTTTAAGCAGAACGATACCAATTTGCGACACATCTACAACGATCACGTGAACACCAATATGTCGTACGAAGATTTTCGCACTCTGTGTCGCGAGTGTTGGCGACGCAAACACGGTTTCCTAACGATAGATAAAGACAGCGCGTTACAGAACGGTCGATACAGACGCGGTTTTAACGATTTCGTGATGCTGTGAAAAAAAGGATAAAATCAGTCTCACCGTGACCTTCTCTTCAGTCGACGACGACGACAACAACGACGACGAGGACGATGAGTACAATGAACGAGCGCCATCGCCGCATCGAATCGCAGGAAATAACTGCGAGACAAATCGCGAAAACGCGGGATTCGATTCGTCGAAAACACAGGATCCTGAAAACCGGTGCGACGGAGAGTGAAATTGCGTTGGAGAAACAATTCAAGCCTATCGTCGAACCTCTGAAACAGATCGCAAAATAAACGATAAAATCATCGAGAATCGACAGAAGACCAATGTTTCTCGGTAAAAGAAAATTCGAAGGAAAGCACTATAAGGATGAGTACGACAACGTCGCAGCAGCAGTCACCGATTCTTCCTTAAAATCTGCTGATTTACCGTCAGCAGCAGTGGCGAAGGAGCACGATGCATGCAAAAACGGTATGAAGGAAAACGTATTTTTCGAGACTAGAGACGACAACCTCGATCGCATGTCTGTTACACCGGAGAGTTCGCCGTCGACATGGGGACCTTTGGGTAGCAAATATGTGAATTTCTTTCTCGGGGGCGATTCGAAGCGCGAGTTGGATTACGTTTATGGAGTGTACATGAACGACAAGGGTGTTATGATGCTGGGAAACAAAACTTTTCGCGTTAACGCAGACGACTCCGTGACTGTAGGCGATATGACGCACACAGGCACGCCCGGACTGTACAAATTGATATTCAAGAGAATGCCCGACGAATTGATTTTCACGAACAACGATCTGAAGACATATATAAAGATATTGATGACAACGTCCGCGCACAAACGCAATTATCGAGCCGCCAATCCTACAATGGAAAACAAAGGTTACAAATGGAGTCATATCATCGCTCCGTTTATAAAACGATCGCGAACGCGATCAGCGAGTGACGCGGCGGTGGCGACGGTGCCGGCGACGATGACAGGCACTGGCGTCGCGCTACTATTGGCACTGGCTCCACCATCACCTTCGAAGATAACATTAACAGATAACAAAGTGGATTATGTGCATTGAGACGACGCCAATGAATTAGTGAATCGTCTTCAATTGCTCGATGCGTCGCGTCGAGCTGGCAATAATGCGCATGATAACGAAATTATCTCAATATTAAAGGAGCTTCGCGAAGCCGGAATAATAGTGAATTAATAATTTTTTTCGTCAAATAATGCTCGATAGAATTATATTTTACGGCGGCGCGCGCGCACACACAATGGTGGTCAATAAATTTAGAATGCCATTGAGAAAGCGTTACAACAACTACGATTACGCGGAACAATTGCGATTGCCGATCGAACTGTTGAAAAATTTCGTGCGCGAATTCGCGTTGTTATCCTTAACGAAGGTGGACGGTGAGAAGGAGAGAATTTACGATGCAAAATCTCGCAGAATTCGTACTCTAGCCGAGCCGAAAGACGATTCCGACGCCGCGTCTAGAGGTTATGTCACGAGCACCGTTCGCGCTGTCAAGAACGAGATCGAGACTATGATCGTCGATTCGTTCAAGATTTTTGCGCACGAAATCATCGACAAGATAACGTCGCTCGATGCGGAATCCAGACACAAGATAGAGAAGATGCATCAAGACATTGTCGAAAAAATATCGATATTGAGAGAAAAAATCGATACTTATCAGCAAGAGATACGCAATTTTTTGCAGGAAAAGGTAAGAAATGACCTTATTCGAGAATTGAGGAACATCGACGCGAAAATCGCAGGCCTGAAGGCGAAAGACGATTCGATGCAGAAGGAATTGTATAAAATAAATGAAGATATAAAAACATTGAAGAGAGTTATGGATCACGTAGTGTTGGGTATGAATTATTTAATAGGACAAAAAGAAGAAAAATGATAAGTGTGGAAAGACGAAAACTCGCGGAGGAATTACACGCGCCCGCTCGAAGAAACTTTCCGCGACGTCGCGTCGTAATGCGCGATTACGACAATCTGTGGCAAGCCGATGTGGTGGAAATGCGTCCTTATGCTCGACAGAACAAAGGGCACAATTACATTTTGATCGTGACCGACGTTTTGAGCAAACACGTGTGAGCGATACCGCTCAAGAGCAAGAACGGAGCGGAAGTAGCCGCGAAGTTGTTGGGGCTCGTGCGCGGCAAACGATGCCCGAGGAATTTGCAAACGGACGAAGGGAAGGAATTCTACAACGCTGATGTGCGAAAAGTGCTCACGAGACACGGTATAAATCACTATTCGACTTATTCCGTGATGAAAGTATCCGTGGTGGAAAGATTCAATCGGACTTTGAAAGAATAATATGTGGAAATTATTCAAGAACGGATCGTACAGATGGATCGATGCGTTGCTACAACTGCTGTCGGATTACAACGCTCGATAGACATCGCACGATCGGCATGCGACCAATCGATATGACGCGAAAAAACGCTGGGGTTTTTCTGACCACGGTCTACAGTAACGCGAAGATAGTTCCTCCCTGAAAATTCAAGATCGATGATCCGGTAAGCAGACGTGTAAGTAGATTCAAAACGGTGTTTGAGAAAGGTTACACGCCCAATTGGTACACGAAAATCTTCAAGGTGGTCAAAGTGCAACGAACGAATCTGCTGCAATATTCTCGAGGAAACGCGATAGAGGGAGGATTATACGAGCATGAGCTGCAGCGAACTGCTCGTCCCAACATTTATCTCGTGGAAAAGGTTTTGCGCAAGGGTAGCGATCGCGAATACGTGAAGTGGCTGGGTTTCGATAAATCGCACAATTCCTGGATTCACATGTCGAACGTCTTGTGATCCATCGATTTCCTTTCCTCCCCCTCCGTTTCTGTCGCGTCCCGCGTAACCGTATGGACCATCATTCGCATCGCAATCGTCGGTGTGAGAGGAGGAGAAGGAGGAAGAGGAGAGAAAGTATTACGACCGCGATAATAATGACAAGAATACTTGTCTCGGTCGTTATCGCCAGTATTGTGATCGCGTTTCGCATTGCCGCAGCCGTCACCGCCACCGCCGGAAGTGTTGACGGAATACTGACACCGCGACCTTTTGACGATTACGACGACGACGACGTCGAGTTGGCGAATCGATATTTGCAAAAGTACGGTTATCTGCAAGAAAACGTGTTTGATTCGATCACGGAGAAGAGGAAGATTGAGATGGAGGAACTTCTACGACAAGCACTCGCTCTATATCAAGAAATATATCGAATCGCAGGCAAGGGAGAACTGAACAATATTACACTAGATCTAATGAAAAAACTGATACGGTCTCAAAGATATCTCTAGCGAAACGGTAAACTCGCCGACACCGACGTGAGCGACGAGATTTATCACGTGGAATTTTCATCTGGCCAGCGAGACCGTTTTGAAGACGACGAGAGTTGCTTTCGACACGTGGGCCAGGAACTCGTCGTTGATATTCGAAAGTAATATTTCGCATCCTAACATCATGCTGTCGTTTCGCGAATGTTCTCACGTATTTGCGCAACCGAACGGTGCCGCCTGCCCCACACCGCTGGACGGACCCGTCGGCGTGCTCGCTCACGCGAATTATCCCACCAGAAGTGCCGATCACGTCTCAGAGGTGTACATCGACAGAGCGGAATCGTGGCACATAAAGATCAATAAGAATCCCTCAAAGAGATACAGTTTGTTGTACATATTGATATACGAGATCGGCCACGCCCTAAGATTGCCACACAGCGAACGCAAAGATTCGGTGATGTACGCGTTCGCGCCAGAACGACCCATTTTTCCGATGGAACTCAATCTGGAGGATACGCTCAATATTCAACAATTGTACGGTGGAACATTGGCGGCGACGACTACGCGGCCGTTGTCAGTGACGACCCCTGCCACGAGAGAAAATGACGACGATGACGACGACGACGACGGCGAAGACGAGGCAGATCTGTGCGCCCTGCGTCGCATAAATATCCTAGTGATAATCAACAAACGAATATTTATTGCCAGTGGTCGTTGCGTGTGGTCGGTCGATATAAACGTCAGATCCTATCAAAAACTAATACTGATCACGGAATATTTGAAATTTCTTCCGGAAAATTTTACTATTTTTTCGGCAGCTTATCAAAAACCTTCGGAGGGTATCGTTTTGTTCGCCGACAATAGAGTATATACGACCGAATTTTCCAATCAAAGATTGATAGAGGAGCGGTCGTTCACCGATTTCAGACTACCGATGAACGCGAAGATCAACACGGCGATAAACACTTACAGAGGAGAGTTTCGTTATTTACATCGATTACGTAGTGGACGAAACCGACGATTGCGCCACCACCAGAATCGTCAGACACCATAGAGAGTCAGAAGAAGGGACTGTTGCAACAATTACGCGATCTCTTGCAGCGAATCGTGTGGCTGACCGATGACAGTGGTGGATCCAACGACGGCAATCTCATCGTCGCCACAACGGTGCGGTTTCTCTGGACAAACGAGTCCAAATTGAATGATATTTTTTTCTTCTGTAAAAACTTTTATGTTACATTTTCTTCTTATATATATATATATATATATATATATATATATATATATATATATATATATATATATATATATTGTATTTGCTTCGGCAAGTATATATAGTATGTTTTAAATATATGTTTCTTTTTCGCTAAAAAATTTTTCAGATGACTCCTGAAAAAAACAAACATAATTTTATTTTTTTCCTTTTATTCTCTCTCTCTCTCTCTCTCAATATATACATATTTTTAATCGTGTCGTCGATCGATTTCCTGCTCGTTCGCCGCCGCCGCCTGCATAATGTCCCCACGGCAGAGTTTCATGCAATTCTCCGGGTATGACGTAACGCTTATCGTCGTACGGACTCAATGCTAGCTTCAGCTCCGATATCGTGTAAACTCCACATTGTGGAGTACCGAACGCACGGCGAACTGACACTTCGTCTGTTCTTTCGTATCCACTAGACACTCGACGTAATCAGAGAAAATTATCTCGCGCGCAACCACATTCTTTTTGATGCCCTTGATTCTCTTCGTGTCGTCCCGACCCTTCACTCGATACGCGTACATCTTCGATCTCAGGCCCACGAATTCGGTCATAATCGCGTCATTGTTCTCGTCCTTCATCAATCCTCACTCTTTTCTTCTCGGGAGGCATATCGTGCGCATTATCGGGAGGATAGTCGCTCATATCGAATCTCGCGATATCGCGCCTCATCAGCTTGTAAGCGTTCTCGAGATAATACACAAAACTATCGGTGTCTGTGTACATGATCCTACACTTGTCGCCATACAACGGTTTCATATAATCGTAATGAAATTCGTAGAGATGCGTTTTCGATATCTCGAGCACGCACATGTCAATGTACACGAGTTTCATTATCTTGACCTCGAGTTTACGCAATTCCACGGCCATGAGGTCTTCCGAGAAAATGCTTCTGCTGTAAAAATTCGGTTTCGCGATCATCGCCTCGGCCCCGTATCTACCGTCCCAATGAGTCATCAATCGAACGTCTACGTGCTCGCGCACGTTCTTCATCGTCTTACCGAACACGGCGTTATTCATGAGCTTGTATATATTAGGTGTACAACTTTGCTTTCGCCGTTTGTTTTCCGAAATTCAAGGCTTTATTGTAAAGAACTGGTTATACATTTATGATTCGAAGTATTGTCCATCGCTGGCCACTACTTTCTCCCATCTTTCGGGCAGCGTACGAATCCCGTGTCGAAAAAACTGGTCATCTTTTGAGGCGATCCACGAATCGATCCAATTTTTTTCTTCTTCATAAGACCGGAAGTGCTGGTCAGCCAGACCGTGTGCCATTGATCGAAACAAGTGATAGTCAGAGGGAGCAACGTGTGGAGAATACGGCGGGTGGGGTAGGACTACCCATTTCAACGTTTCCAAATATGTCTTGACCACTTTCGCAACATGGGGTCGAGCATTGTCATGCTGCAAAATCACTTTATCTGTCTCTCGTCTCTCGTTGTATTGCGGCCGTTTATCTTTCAATGCTCGGCTCAAACGCATCAATTGCGTTCGATACTGATCGCCTGTGATTATTTCAGTCGGTTTTAACAGCTCATAATACGCTACGCCGAGCTGGTCCCACTAAATACAGAGCATGACTTTGGAGCCGTGAATATTCGGTTTGGTCGTCGACGTGGAAGCATGGCCGGGAACTCCCCATGATTTTCTGCGCTTGGGGTTATCGTAATGAATCCATTTTTCGTTCCCAGTCACAATGCGATGCAGAAATCCTTTCCGTCTTTGCCTTTCAAGCAGCTTCACAAGCAAATAAACGCCGTTCACATCTCTCGGCTTCAATTCGTACGGCACTCAATTTCCTTGCTTCTGAATCATTCCCATGGCTTTGAGACGTTTTTTAAATGGCTTGTTGAGTCACTCTCAATGATCGTGCCAATTCTTCTTGATTTTGACACGAGTCTTGATCAAGTAATGCCTCCAATCCTGCATCTTTAAAAACCTTCTCTCTTCGACGTCAAAATCACCGTTCTTGAAGCGTGAAAACCACTCACGACACGTTCTTTCACTAATAGCGGCCTCATCATAAATATTTGAGAGCATTCGATGAACCTCAGCCGC